TCTATTCTATTAACATTACTCTATCGGGAGAATGGAGCTGTTTATATGTTGTCTTCTCCATTCAGAGGGGCCCCTGCCTGTCTTTGCCAAGGGCCCCACATTTCCTAAATTCACTCCTGGAGTTTTCTGAAGCTTCAAAGATGAAGAACAGGTCCGGTTAGAATACATTTAATGAAGTTATTATAATCTATGTCTATTAAAGGACTGATTTGTCTTCTTTAAGCTTCTACTGTAGATGTTATGAATTTCAGCTCATTGAACTGCTTTGAAATTAATATCTGATTATAACTTTAAATGTAGCTCATAAGAACAGACTGCATGTTTGGTAACATGCTGACGTCCCACAGTCTGTTTAATATATTCAATGAATGTGTGTGGGACACATTTAGTCTCTCTGATTGGCTATAAATAAGCAGTGAAAATACACAGCAGAAAGTACCATGATGCGCTGATAGGGGGCAGCGCTGAGCTCCCTCCATGGGTAAAACTGGTGACAGGTGCATGTAAAGGTGTGCTCTTCTTCTATGCAGAGGGTTTCCTTTTTTTTTTCATTTTTAAAAGGTGACTAAGTCTGGATTAAATGTAAATGTGTGAAAATGTAAAATAAAGGAAAGGTCACTCAGTTTTCACTTTTAATAAATAAAAAAAAGGCATTTTTTCAGGCCTCTGTGTTGTTTAGCAATATTAAATTACAATATAAAACCTTTTAAACAAGTTTCTATTTAAAGTCTTACTTTTAATGAAATGTCAGTGTCATATATAAGAGGCAGAGTTCTGCTTTGGTCTTCCTTATAAATGTTTTTTTTTTTTTTTACAATCATCAAAGAATAAAAACAAATGTCATGGATATTTGACTATTCCCACAGTAGGAAAGTAGTTGTCATGGCAACACATTCCACTTCCCATAACAAGGGGTCATATCCCCACAGGGAGATGTGACTGTAGACTTGGTTTTCCCTCCTGTGGCCCCTCTTAAGAGCCAATCCCGGGCCAAGAAATCAGCTAACAGCAAATACAGGCATATGCTAAATGACTTCATCCAGTCAGAACCATTTATGTGCTTCTGGTCAATCCAAAAAAGAATAAAAAAAGATTTTGGATGAAATGCAGGCCTGAAGTCACTCTAGAATAGCAGATGTCTTATTTTATCCTGACATCTCAGAATTTCTAGGCATCTTTAGGTAAAATCTTCTCATGGATCCTTTGTTTCTGCTCATCTGTTACTGTTGTTTCCAAGTTTGAAGACGTTTCTCTTCCATCCAGGAAGTTTTTTCAATTCCAAATGTCAGAAATAGCGTTTAGTTCCAGGTTTTATACAGTAGCTCAACAAAACCTTTTTTTTTGTTTAGAAAACATGCAAATAGAAACGGATGAACGGGTCCCCCCCTTTGGAATGGGGGTCGTTTGGCTTCTTTGTTAGCCTGCAATGCCCCATACCTGTCTATGCCTCTGAAAGGGGGGTCGTTTGGCTTCTTTGTTAGCCTGCAATGCCCCATACCTGTCTCAAGGTCTGGTTATCCTCCCACAGCAGTGTGTCGCAGTGAACTTAGCGCAGATATTTTTGATTTATGCCCAATATTGAAGCGTGGCCTGCGCTATGGTATTCCACGCCAGAACGCCAGAGGGACAATCAGGAACTAGCTGTGGGTCTAGATACGGCCGAGGCGGTGAGGAAGGGGGGGCAAGTTTGCGCAACTATTCTATTCTATAAAAGTAAAGTTAGTAAATCTAAACAATGTATGTATGAAAAATAAATCTGCAAAATGTCTTATATTCAACAAGAAAAATTACTTAGTTAAGCATATTGTGCAAAATAGCAATTAAAAGATTAAAAATCCAGATTTATAGTCCCCCCCCCGCAGATATATTAGAATCTGTCCTTAAATTCCAGCCAAACTAATTTACACAGTAACAGATAAAAACCTTTAGATAAATCAAACATTACCGCCACATATCTGACTCATTAACCATTAAAACAACTATTTTCTTTCATCTCAGATGGAACTATTCACATATTTGCATTATATTAAACTGAACTTCCAATTTTCACCACCGTTTGGCGCCAAGTACCATTTCCTCTGTGCACAGAGCAGCCGGCTTGCTTGGTTTCGCAATGAATCCTGGGAAAACGAGGATAGAGGGGATACATCGGACCTGCTCTTCAACTCAGGCAAAAAGAAGGATGCATTTGTAGGCTGCATAACGAGGAGTCATGGAATCCGACCAGACCTCGGCGCCGCGCTATGATGTAATCGGCTATGGAATCTGGCCTTTTGAGGACACGGCCCATATATGGAATCAGCTGATATGGAGCAGGTGTGGATGGAAGTGACTAGAAGGGAGCTAGAGCAAAGGAGACAGGCACAAGGGGGCGACAGAGAGTAACTAAAGACTTATTAAATATAACATAAAATGAAAAATAAACCAAAGATCAACAAAACAGAATGACATAGATACTGAAAACTCAAAGTCTAAAAGGGGGGGGGGGTCACCATAACAGGTAAAAAACGAGGCAATTTAACAGACCAGGAGAGGAATCTATTGAGATCATTAAAGGTATTTTAGACATTAAGATGTCCTGGCCTATAGCTCATTGTTCAAGGTGCAAAGAAAACATTTCATTTACAAACAAACAATAAAAAAAAACAAATCATTAATGTTTGTGTTTCTGTCACTAGATCATTGACAAAACAAGGTATAAAAAAATGAGAGACTCATTAAACTACAGCCAGCAACTGGCTCTCAGGCAATGTGTGTTCAATAGTGGAGGCAGTTTAGAGCTAACATATGATGGCATTTCTCCTAAGATGGTCATTTTATAGTGAAATGAATCCAACGATGGCGACGCTCAGAAAGAGCTGCTGAAGTGTGGAGGCAGACGGAGAGGATGAGAGAAACGTTCTGGATGAAGAAGCTCACTGATCACAGGCTGGAGAAGCTCAGTCAGCAGCTCAGAGTGATCTCACCGAGTTTCATCACTTTACAACCTTTAAAACATTTTCTCCTCAAACCCAAAAACTTTGTGTTTTATTGGAATTCGATCTAAGAGAACAAATAATGAGTTACAGTGAAGCAGGACAATCAGAGTGGGAGTGTGGCGCAGCTGCAATCCAGCAGCAGGAGAGGAGTGGGTCCATGGTAACTCTGGAGGCAGGGGGGGGGTTACCATTAGGCAATACTAGGCAGTTTCCTAGGGCCCCAGGTTCCTGGGGGCCCCATAAAACTCTGTTTACATTTATAGTTAATACGGTTATTCCTTATTTGTTAATTATGTTTTTAATAAAAATCCTTTGCCTAAATGCCATCAGAACGCTGATAATATTAAGTGTGTCTCAGCCCCCCCCCTTCAGTGTCCACCATATTGGATCAGTCCATTTGCTGCACATGTTCAGAAAGGTCCAAACAGACAGCAGCAAACCATTTGAAAACAAACCATGCAAAGAGCAGTGTTGCCAACTTAGCGCTTTAGTCGCTATATTTAGCCACTTTTCAGACCCCTCTAGCACTTTGATTTCTAAAAAGCTCCTAGCGCCAAATCTAGAGACTTTTTTCTGCTACTGGAGACTTTGGAGACAACATCTAAAAGCAGCGAACTCTGCTCTCCAGAGCGAGTAGATTGGTAACCCCGCCTCCTGCTCTCCTCTATCTTGTCTGCTGTCATGATTCATGCAGCTATTATTTCATCCAAATGAAAAATGGAGAACAGATAAGCAGATCATGGCTTGTCTACAGTGAAAAGAAGGACTGGGTTATTTACTTTGGCCTTTTTGGAAACACAGGAAGGAGCAATCAGCTAAGTGAGCTTAGTGCTTGGAAAAAATCTTTCATTCCTTTAGAGACAGCATGAAAAGTCAGCTGAGTACAAAACATAGAGAGGAAAACAAGAAGAAAAGGGACAAGAAGAGAGGGACACAACCTAGAACAGATCATGGATGTCTATTCTATTAACATTTCTCTATCTGGAGAATGGGGCTGTTTGATGTCTAGGGCCCTAAATTTCCTAAATCCGCCCCTGTGTGCAGGAGCCACAGCTCAGTGGGAAATTGATCAAACTTTCCTGAGTGTAACGCTGAGTGATGGAGCATCCAGTGACCCACATTTCTCTCCTTTTATTCCATAAAGTTGGTTTATGTTTTAGTTTGATTCACATCAAACTTCACAGACCTGGTTCTGCTGTCTAAAGTGACTCCATGTGATTCCTGATCACTTTTAGTGAAATCAGGAGGAAATGATGATAGTGAGGATTGAATGAAGCCATAGAAAGGTTGGTGCTTTCATTTCCTAAACCCACAGCATCTTTAGTTTGACCCACGGGAGCCGTGGATCTCCCCACAGCGCGGCTCTGTGTGTGTGTGTGTGTGTGTGTGTGTGTGTGTGTGTGTGTTGTGGCCGATAGATTGTTACACAATCGCTTTCAGTTTCCTCGCCCTGCCTGCTCGGTGGCTCCCCGCCCACCGCTGCTCTCCGCCTGCCTGCCTGCCTGACTGACTGACTGCTGGGCGGACTGGGCCAGATCAGCCGACCAGTTCCGCCTTCTGTTCACCCAGCAGGGCTCCGGGGGAGCGGGACGGCGGGTTACGTCATGGTGGACATTCTGCTGGAGGTGAGGAGGTGTTTTTATTTCCTGATCGTTTCTTATCAAATTCATCCTCTGACGTCGCTGCGTTCCGGACAAACTTTGACGCTGCTGCCCCCCCCCCCCCCCTCTCTCCCCGCATCCCTGCGTTGCCGCGCACACGCGCACCGTCACGCGTCCGCGCGAATCAAGCTGTTACGGTTCCGTTTCAAAGGCTGTGACGTCAGCCGCCGTAACTCTAAGTCCGTACGAGCGGCGCGCGCGAGTCTACGCGCCCGTGCGGCGGCGGAGATCCCGTGAAGGGTCAGTCACGCGCGCGCGCACATGTCGCATGTGTGTCACCGTAGCGCGCGCAGGCTGCTGATGTTGTTTTGACACAGGTGACGTAGAGCGTGTGACGCGCCTGAACGATGAGATAAGCAGTTCCACTCCGCGTGCGTGTCCGAAAAGCAGGCGCGCGCGATCCGGGCGCCTTATTTCTGACGCAGACTAAAGAGGATTCAGTGAGCGGCGCAGGGTTTATAGGTGAGCCGCAGAGGGTCAAACTGGATGGATCCAGCTCCGCGGGGGGGAGCGGCGCCGCGCGCGCACACCTGAGCGACACGCAGCGGGGACAGCGCGTGCACGGCAGCGACACCTGACAGGAAAAGTAGGACTCCGCTTGAATCTGTCCTGAGGCTCACATTCACTGAAATATACTGACACAGCTGGCTCCTGATTGGAGAGCCGCGCGATGACACAAGCTGACGTCATCAACGAACAGGTGAAAAGTTTCAGAGCGCCTCATTGGATAAGTTTGGCTTTTTAACCCCCTTTAGTTCCCCAGACGTCCATTAGATTTGCTATTTTTAAAATATATTTATCATTAAACACATGGGAATGATCTGTGAAGACTTTTATCTTTTTCTCTCTCCTTTATTTATTTAGGTTTTCTATGTCCAGTTTTGTATTTATGGGATATAAACTATTATATCCAGATGAAAACTAATACAATCATGTCTTTATTTCTATGTGATCAATTCTAGATATAAATATCTAGAGGCACCAGTTTGGCTGCTTAACTGAAATCATATTGAACATGTTTTTCTATTCATTAAGCATTTTCTTCAACGAGGGAGGCCATGATGGATGCATAAAAACTGCTGAGTAACATACCAAAGAGAAGGCTGAGTCATTGGTTACTATGGCGACTTCCCCTTGATAGATGGAGGAGGAGCCCACAGCATCACTATTTTCATCAGAAATAGACCGTCAGCTAATCGAACAAACAGACTGCGAATAAAAAAGATTAAAGATATTTAAAAATCAGTTGAATCTGATGGCTGCACTGCAGGGAGGGTTTGCCTGCTTTCTGGGCTGGTTTTATAGAAAACTCCATATCATCCAGCAGGAGAAGACATGCATTCTAAAAAAGGACAGAAGTACCTTTCCTGTGGATGCAGAAACATTAAGAGATAAAACAATCTTTCAGGATCAGGATCTGGAGTCAGATATGGTCAGAGAGGACAGGCTGTGAGTGGAAGGTAGAGCTTTTAGCAGCGTTTCAGCTCTGATGGCTGGAGCTCTAATCTGGGCTTGTTTCCCTTTCCTTAAATCTGCTCTCATCTCTTCTGAGTTTTAAATGCATTAACACAATATTGCTCAGCATCTTAATTCACTGCCAGCAGGAGCTGCTCTCAGTGACCAATGATCCTCCTGATTGATCTGCAGCCTCACCGTACCTTTTATAACGCAGTGATTAATGATCCAGCTGAATGATCTCATTTAATAAATTAGGATCATTCAGTTTCTGACATTAATTCTTCTTCATTAGAATCAGCAGCAAAGATCAAATAATTCAACAGGATGAAGGAAATAAAATCAACATTAGACCATGATCAGATTCCATCCATCCATCCATCCATCCATCCATCCATCCATC